TTTCCAAATCTGTCATGTACGAGCTGTGTGTTACTTACCTTCAGTAGGTTACTTACCTCTCTGTGCTTCAGTGTCCTCATGTGTGAAAGGGGATAATAACAGTACCTACCTCATGAAATGCATTAATATCTATAAAGGCTTAGAACATGACTGGCTCATAGTGTTATGTGTTAGTTACTATTATCATTATAACTGAAATATTTCAAGTAATCTATTTTATATATTTTAAAAAGCACGGGTCTCTTGTTCTTTGCCTGAATGACCCCACCCTCACACTCTTCCTGGTTAATCATCCTTCAAGTCTCAGCTCAATTTAGAATAGAGGAAAGTTAGAACAACCCGAATGGGCTAAGTAACAGCTTGGTTAAATATAAATTTTGGTATAAAAGTTTGGAATATCCCCACACTGAAACATCATGCATGCTAATTTTGTTTTTTATAAAGTTTTTCTTTTTTATTAAATTTATTTATTTTTGGCTGCGTTGGGTCTTCGTTGCTGTGCGCAGGCTTTCTCTAGTTGAGGTGAGCGGGGGCTGCTCTTCGTTGTGGTGCGCGGGCTTCTCATTGTCATGGCTTCTCTTGTTGCAGAGCACGGGCTCTAGGTGCGCAGGCTTCAGTAGTTGTGGCATTCGGGCTCAGTAGTTGTGGCCCATGGGCTCAGTAGTTGTGGCGCATGGGCTTAGTTGCTCCGCGGCATGTGGGATCTTCCCGGACCAGGGCTCAAAGCCGTGTCCCCTGCACTGGCAGGCGGATTCTTAACCACTGTGCCACCAGGGGAGCCCTGCCCTTCACCTTTGACAGCTAAAGAGCAGGCTGTGGCCGGTGACAAAGGCACATTTCCACTTTAAGAAGATTGGGGCCATCACTGATGAATGGCTTCAACCAGCTCACTGTCCTATGGACTCCATCCTGAACCCTGCACTTCAAATAATTGTGTACTTATTTCTTCAATCTACAATTCAGTTTCTGCTCCCATTCTCTCCAAGGGATTTGGCTACCATATTGGCAAGACTAAAGGATTTACCTTTTCTTAATTTATTGTCTTGGCAGAACGACCATATATTCCAGATCCCCTTGGCTTTGCAGTTGCAACACTCACTCACAAGGAATTCTCTAGTTCCGGGCATTCTACTTCCTAGTGGCTAAGTCTCTTGGTCCCGACACCCAACGGTCTCTCCTACAGTTGCATCTCAGCACACTCCTTCCACGAAAGCACAGCATGTCGGGATTGCCCACCTCTGCTTCCCGCCCCTCAGCAGGATTGTAATCTCTTCTGAGAGTCTGGTACCTTCAGAGACTTCCCACGTGTGATCTCAAAGGGTCACACCTGTCAAAGAAGTTTGGTCATCTCTGGACCAGGAGTTGGAAGAAATTGGGTCTTGACACATATCCTATGTAACCTTAATCCAGTTTTTTAACCTTTCTAGGTCTTGCTTCCTAATCTGAGCCATGGCAAAACAGATTGGGATCAGGTAAAACCATAGACATGGATATGCTGAGGGAAGTCAAAAGTACTAGGACCTTTGGAAGGTCTTGTTACTGCTGTGGCCAGTGGTCCTGCTTTCAGGACCACTGGGGAGGCTGGGAGGACAAAATGACAAAACAGATGTGAAAATTCCCAGGATGGAGTTTCGAGCACAGCGGCCATCAAGGGTGTGGGAGGGGAAACCTCTTATCAGCACGAATGAGGGGAAGTGGAGGGCTTCCCTGCTCAGGAGTGAGGGGGTGGCCCACAGGATGCCTGTGGGGCTCTCTGGAACCATGGTTAACTCTCGCTGTCACTTCTCACATCCCTGAGCTGGAAAGAGCTGAGTCCTAGAATAGTATGTCCTTTACCATGAAACCACTGGGCATGTGGGTTGAGGAAGAAGGAGGAGGAGTGACTCCCGTCAAGGCTGGGGAATCACATTCTGGATAGAGTGTCGGATGCCTCGTTCATTCATACTTCATTTGGCTAAATGGACTTCATGTCCTGAGTCCATGTTACCTACCACACCCCCTCCCATTAAAACTGGTAGTTTGAGCTGCCTCTGGACACTTATTAATACCTACTGTGTAGGGCTTCCCTGGTGGTGAAGTGGTTAAGAATCCACCTGCCAATGCAGGGGACACGGGTTCAAGCCCTGGTCCGGGAAGATCCCACATGCCACAGAGCAGCTAAGCCTGTCCGCGACAACTACTGAGCCTGCGCTCTACAGCCCGTGAACCACGACTACTGAGCCCAAGTGCCACAACTACTGAAGCCCGCGTGCCTAGAGCCTATGCTCTGCAGCAAGAGAAGCCACCCAATGAGAAGCCCAAGCACTGCAACGAAGTGTAGCCCCCGCTCACCACAACTAGAGAAAAGCTCACGCACAGCAACAAAGACCCAAGGCAGCCAAAAATAAAAATAAATAAATAAATTTTAAAAAATACCTACTGTGTACACGGAGATAAGCATAATCCAGTTTTTGCATTAAGGAACTCCCTTTCTAGCAGGGGAGACAACCAAGTAGACATATGTTATAGGTGATGTGATGGAGATGGCACAAAGGGAGGTACAGAATTCAGTTGGAAGAGAGGTCAGGGAAGGTTCTCTAGAGGAGATGAGCACTTTTTTGGTTGTGTATTTGAGAGGCATTTGTTATCATTCTCTATCGACTATTACTTAGAAATGGCCTCAATGTATAAACCTTGGAGGCCATTGATTTAGCTAAACATTTTGACACAAGCCTTTGTACTCCCTATGTGAAAGTTCATTGTTGTGAACACAGCGTTATTGTTAAGACCTTCACAAATAAAAAAATTTTGCCTGCATGAGCCAAAGATCAAATCAAGGTTAAGAGGCAAAAATCAACAAATGCACTGCGTGGCTAATCACCCATCCTTATCTATCGTCATTCTTCTTACGTATTTTCGTAAGAGTTATGTCCTTCCATGGCTTGAAGATCAGTGCTCCCCACTCACGTAGACGGAGGTCTCCACGTCAAGGGCTCTTCCTTAGTGCACAGTGGATTTAGTCTTGACCTGGAACTATTCATTTACAGCCAAGAGATGGTTTTCTCCATCCTTTGGGCTCTCTGACATTTTGTTTCTACCTCTGACATGACACATACCTTATTCCATCTCACGAGATAGTGATTTCTGTCACTGTCAGCACCATCACTAGACTAAGGACTCTGAGGGCAGCGATGGGTCGTCATTCAGCTCTGTCTGTCCTGACAAAGAACAGGTGACTACTCAGTTGGGTTGAATGGAAATGCCAGGATAACAAAGTCTGTGTAGACTCCGGGTACCGCAAGACACATTCTTCTTCCCTTGCAGCAAGGTTCTTGACGCATGAAGATGAAACTCCATCAACCAGGAGAGACCACGAGAGATACTTGCATAGGTGATATCAGAGATTGTAGAGTGTTAAGAGTTGGGGATGGGGGTCTTGGTGAAGATAAGAACACTTGAAGCAAGACTCACAGGAAGAAAGGAGTGAGGACAGAAAGGATAAAGAAAAGTACAGTGTGTGTGCATGTGTAGGTGGTGGGAGCAGGGAGAGGCGAGAGTGTTGAAGTAGGAAGACATGGTACTTTATTTAGTGACACTGAAATGCTCCGAGATGCTGCTCTGCCTCCTTCTATCCCACATCTCTACAGCACCCAGGAGGCCTGGCTCCCTCTTTTCACTCTCCATGCTTCCTTTTCAAAGCAGAGGCAGGTAGCAATGTGGGACTGCGGGTGAGCAGGTGGATCAGAGTGGTTGAGCTGAAGGTGGATAGAGGTCTTGATCCCATCATCCTAATGGCCCTCATTTGCCCTGATTCATGCACTACTGTATTCCTGGCCTTTGGAAGCTTCATGTAGTCACCTTCAGGCCCACAGCAGCTGCCGAACCAGGCAGGGCTTTACAAGAACACAAGGAATTCCCTGTGGACGTCTGGGAAACACCCACAGGCTTAGATTATATACTTTATCTGTAACATAGATGAATTCATTGCCAGCTTTATCCAATTCTGTTTTTATACCGGAAGAACATTCTTTATCTGGGTCTTCTAAACTTGATTCTTCCTGATTTCTTTCTCCTTTTCTGTTATTGGCCCAAGGGAGCACACTGAAATCTTGATTTCTTTTGCATTCTTTGGGACAGACGGACCACACCCCTTTCCTGTATTCAGCCCTGATAAGATGGGTCTTTGTGTGTGGCGTGGCCCCTAGGTGGCCAGCAGTCTCTCTCTCTGTGGTCACGTTCTATATTTGTTCTGGAGATGACAGGGTAGAAAGAAAATGGATTTTAGAGTCAGATGAACCTCAGTCCAAATCTTGGCACTGCCACTTAACAGCTGTGTGGCCTTGAGATTATCACTGAACTCTGTTCTGCCCCCTGAATCTCATTGCCTCAGGGGAATAATCACACCCTGCTCGGGGTTAGGGTAGGGTTAGATGTGTGTGTATAACGCAGCTTGCCTAGTGCCTGGCACATAGTAAATGTGCTACACTTCTGCACACTGGACAGAAGCTGGACCCTTCCGTTATGCCCAAGGAAATGTACAGGGCACTAGAGTCACTCTGCCTAGCAGAAGGAGGCCTGCAGTGGGACATGGAATCCTGGCTTCCTCCCCTTCTTGGGGCCAGGCCTGTGGCCACCCTGGAAAGACTGACATGAAGTCTCTAGCTTCTGGAGATGCTAACCACTAAGAGCATGATGGTTCTCATGTACAAGCCCCTTCTAGCAGGTGTGAAGGTTTCATCTTTCTTGTTGGGCTTGCAATTCTCCCCCAAGCCTCAGTCACTGCCTTTGGTGTACCACTTCCCTCTAGGGTTCAGCCCACTTCTCTGCTCCACCTTCCTCCGCTTTCCTCCGTGATGACACTGCTGGGGGAAAAGAAAACTGTGCAGAGGTCCTCAGCCAGCTAGCTTCAGTTTCCTTATTGACACCATGACATCATCTGTACCCTGGAAATTCCACTCTCCCCCATCTCTGTCCCAGGCCTCAAAGTTCCTATAAAGAAGGGCTCCCAACTCAGTATCAGCACAGGGCACAGAAGGGTTCTGAAGCTTCTGGGTTCTGCAGTCCAAGCTCCAGGCAAGTCTCTCCTCCACCAAGACCATGAGGCTCTGCATGACCGTCCTCTCCTTCCTCGTGCTCGCAGCTGCTTTCTGCTCTCTGGCACTCTCAGCACCAAGTAAGTCCATTCTTCCAGCTGCCACTGAGTCAGGATGTAGGCAGCGCTGACTTTTCTAGTTGGGGCTGGTCCAACACTAACATCTGGGGATGAGACAAAAGGGAGCAGGGAAGATCTAAGTAGCCTGCAGGTAAACGTAGAGTCTGGTAGACACTCAGTAATATTCAAGTTCCTGTTTTCTTAAGAAATAGCAACCCGTAGACTGGTTTAAGCAAGTCCCTGTCTCTCTGTGTGCCTTGGTTTCCCCATCTGTAAAATGAAGGGAGTTAGACCTGTGCTCTAAGACCCAATACAGCCTGAACCTTCTAGAATCCTTTCATGGTCTTCTCCTAGGATTCTCTATTCAGAATAAGACTCCTACTCAAAGTGGGTGGGATTAGATACAAGGGACCATATTTGGGGATCTGGCAGATCCACAGGGATGCCCTTTGAATATCTATAACTAGAAGCCAAAATGAATAGCTCTGGGTAGAGCTTCTGTCTCACCTCGGCCTTTCTTCCCAGTGGGCTCAGACCCTCCCACTGCCTGCTGCTTCTCTTACACCCTGCGGAAGCTTCCTCGCAACTTCGTGATCGATTATTATGAGACCAGCAGTCTCTGCTCCCAGCCAGCTGTGGTGTGAGTATCAACCCTGGGGCCTTTCTTGGAGGCGAGGGTGAGGGCAGGATTAGAAAAAGGGGCCTGTTTGAGGTGAGGGGAGATGAAGCAGTAGGGAGGCAGGTGTCAGGGCTGAAGGCCTCCCTGAAAGCAGTGAGAAACAGGTCATGATGTCACCTGCTGAGACCTGGAGAGGGCTGGGTGGGAGCTAAAGGAGGGGAAGGTGCTTTCTGGGGAGGAAGTTAGCTAGAGGCCAGGAAGACAGGGAAAGTCAAAAAGGTGATAGAAGTTGTGGGCTGAATTCTTAAACCATACTTAGAAAACACGTGCCAAGGTCATTGCTAGGGGCAGCAGGGAATGAATGGGGAGATATGTCCACAATGATTGCCAAACTCATTGGTTCCTAATCTGGGCAACTCAGGAGGCCACAGCTAAACCCAAGGAGGAAGTTACAAGGAATCAGGTCCCAGCAGCACCCCAGGAAGGGTTTTCTCACCCACTAGGCTGTCCAACATGAGCCAGGGTGAAGGACAGGGAGATACCCACCACAGGCAAGGTCCCATGGGATTCGAACCTGTCCACTCTTTGCTCCACAGATTCCAAACCAAAAAGGGCAGGCAGGTATGCGCCAACCCCAGTGATCCCTGGGTCCAGGAGTACATGGATGACCTTGAACTGAACTGAGCTGCTCTGAGGCCGGGGCAAGTGTTCTGCAGGAAAGATCACCTGAGCCCAACACTTCTCAGCAAGACGCACCCTCTCCACATTCACGACCCCTCCCAGTAGTCCCTGTTCCTTCTCTTAATTTAATCTTTATTATGTACTATGTTATTATTATTGTATTTGGTGTTGTTTCCCACTATTTATGTTTGTTTTGCCAAAGGACATGTGTCCCCCATGGGGATGGTCCACCATCACTGTTTCTCTGCTATTGCGGATACATGGATAATGCAATTGAGTCCAAGTGTTAATAAAATTTTTTAAAAATGTAGACAGTTTCTTTGTGTTTTAATTTGATTTGCGGTAAAGGGAATTGCCTGCTATTATGAATAGTTTCCAAACACAATAAGAACAAGCAATTACTGAGTCCTTAATATGGGCTAAAATGTCTAGAGATACAAACTTCACTTAATACTTTTAGCAAGGATTTTAACACCCTTATGAAGTAGGGACTGTTATCCTCAATTTTACGGATGTAGAAACAGAGGCACAGAGGTGACGTGACTTGCTAAGGCATGTAGGTCTGCTTGGGGTGCACCGTGAAAGGCTGATCCAAAAAGATACCTGTGCTGCTGAGGGCTATCATTTCAACATCTTGTAGGGAAGCTGTAAATAGGAACAGCAGCGCAACAGAGAGGGAAGATGATGTAGCCCAGAATCAGAAAAGTGGGGCCTCCGTCACTCACTATCATTAAGAAAGTCATCTTGGGGGCTTCCCTGGTGGCGCAGTGGTTGAGAGTCCGCCTGCCGACGCAGGGGACACGGGTTCGTGCCCCGGTCCGGGAAGATCCCACGTGCCGCGGAGCGGCTGGGGCCGTGAGCCATGGCCGCTGAGCCTGCGCGTCCGGAGCCTGTGCTCCGCCACGGGAGAGGCCACAACAGTGAGAGGCCCGTGTACCGCAAAAAAAAAAAGAAAAAAGAAAGTCATCTTGTCTCATTGGACCTCAGTTTTCACCCCTGTAGAGTGGGGGTGATATTATTTATTTACTTTGAAGGGGTGTTATGATATGATGTGTAAAGCTCTCATCATGGGGCCTGGCGCCTGTAAGTTTCTCTCTTTCTCTCTCTGAGCCTCAGCTTTTTCACGTAAAATGGGCTATAATGTCTATCCTCCCAGGGTTATCAGGCAGATTAGATTAGTGGATCGGCCCTCTAGAGCCAAAGCAAGTGCGAAGTGTGGTCATGAGGACAAAAGAACAGATGTCAGATTTGGTTCTAGAGTGTGATGGGAGTAACCCAAGGCCACTTAACAACCCTTCGGTCATGACTTCCTATGACAATGGTCAGGCAGAACATGACTCTCAAATAGAATTACATGCACAATTAAATCTTGATTCACAAGCTGGGAGGAACCTCTCAGACCATCTGGTCCAGCCCTATCATAGTACAGAAACTGAGGAATAAGAACTGAGAAGTGACTTTCTAAAGGCCACCCAGAGAGCATCAATGCCAGTGTCAAGCCCCCGGTTAGTCCCCTTTTCTGTGCTCCTTGTGACATGCCTCCGTGGTCCCCAAAAGGACAGCTCATCGTGTAAGTAGGGTAAAGAGGGAGCTACGTCAAAATTGTTTGTGTTCGTTTTTTTTTATTGAACTATAGTTGATCTATAATGTGTTGTTTCAGGTGTACAGCAAAGTGATTCAGTTATATATTCATATATATATATATATATATATATTCTTCAGATTCTTTTCCATTATAGGTTATTACAAGATATTGAATATAGTTCCCTGTGCTCTACAGAAAATCCTTGTTGTTTAGCTATTTTATATATAGTAGTGTGTATCTGTTAATTCCATACTCCTAATTTATCCCTCCCCTCTCTCCCTTTCCCATTTGGGAACCATAAGTTTGTTTTCTGTGTCTGTGAGTCTGTTTCTGTTTTGTAAATAAATTCATTTGTTTTGTTTTGTTTTGTTTTTAGATTCCACATATAAGTGATAATGTACAGTATTTGTCTTTCTTTGTCTGACTTCACTTAGTATGATAATCTTCAGGTCCATCCATGTGCTGCAAATGGCAATATTTCATTATTTTTTATGGCTGAGTAGTATTCCATTGTATATATGTACCACATCTTCTTTATCCACTCATCTGTCGATGGACATTTAGGTTGCTTCCATGTCCTGCCTACTGTATTGTAAATAGTGCTGCAATGGACATTGGGGTGCATGTATCCTTTCAAATTATGGTTTTCTCAGGGTATATGCCCAGGAGTGGGATTGCTGGATCATATGGCAGCTCTATTTTTAGTTTTTTAAGGAACCTCCATACTGTTCTCCATAGTGGCTTTACCAGTTTATCTTCCCACCAACAGTGTAGGAGGGTTCCCTTTTCTCCGCACCCTCTCCAGCATTTATTTATTTATTTATTTATTTAAATGTTGAGCCTTCTTTTAATTTATTTATTTTTATTTTTGGCTGTGTTGGGTCTTCGTCTCTGTGCGAGGGCTTTCTCTAGTTGCGGCAAGCGGGGGCCACTCTTCATCGCGGTGCGCGGGCCTCTCACCATCGCGGCCTCTCTTGTTGCGGAGCACAGGCTCCAGACGCGCAGGCTCAGTAGTTGTGGCTCACGGGCCTAGTTGCTCCGCGGCATGTGGGATCTTCCCAGACCAGGGCTCGAACCCGTGTCCCCTGCATTAGCAGGCAGATTCTCAACAACTGTGCCACCAGGGAAGCCCCAGCATTTATTATTTGTAGACTTTTTGGTGATATCCATTCTGACCAGTGTGAGGTGATACCTCATTGTGGTTATGATTTACATGTCTTGTTTGAATGTTCTTAGTCTGATGCAAAAGCAGAACTGAGACTATGTACCTCTCTGGGGCCAACAGACACAATTTCCTTCCTTGCCCTGCCCTCAGCCACTCCCGTCATCCCAAGCTCCTGTAGAAACCTCCTTCAGATTCTGCAGGGACTGAGAGAAGGAGGTTGGGGAGGGGCAGAACTGATCCCAAAATGTGTGAGAAGAGGCTAGCAGCAAAGAACCTGACTGGTCTTGGCTTCTGCTTCTCATCTGCCTAGATCTGAGCTGTCCAGTACATAGCCATTAGCCACAAGTAGCTATTTAAATTTCAATTAAATTTAATTTCAGTTAAATAAAATTTGAAATTCAGTTCCTCAGTTGCACTGGTCACATTTCAGGTGCTCACTGGCTACATGCGATTCGTGGCTGCCATGTTGCATGGTGCAAATGTAGAACATTCCTATCATCATAGGAAGTTCCATTGGACCAATCTCCTCAGGGCCTAAAGGGAGGGAAAGGACAGGTAATTGGGGTGGCCGGGAAGGTTAGGGTATGGTCTTCGGTGAAAGATACACACCATTCTGAGGGAAGGGGTTGGGAGAGAGAATTCATGATCCCCAGGCCTGAGACAAGGTATAGATCTCTGTGGTAGGCTGAATAATGGCCCCCAAGATGTTCACATCCTAATCCCCAGAATCTGTGAATATTCCTTTATAAGGTAAAAAAGCCTTTGCAGATGTGATCAAGAATCTTGAGATGAAGAGATTATCCTGGATTATTTGTCTGGATCCTAAATCTGATCATAAGTGTCCTTCTAAGAGGGTGCAGAAGGAGATGTGACCACAGAAGAGAAGGCAATGTGAAAACAAAAGCAAGATGCCATGCTGCTGGCTTTGAAGATGGAGGAAGAGGTCACGAGCCAAGAAATGCAAGAATGCAGCTCTAGAAGCTGGAAAAGGCAAGAAAATGGTTTCTCTCCTAAAACTTCCAGAAGGAGCACAGCCATCTTGATTTCAGCTCAGTGAATCAGACTGTGGACTTCTGACCTCTAGAACTTTAAGAGCATAACTGTGTGTTTTTTTAGGACCCCAAGTTTGTGTAATTTGTTGCAGCAGCAATAGGAAACTAATACAATCACCAATGGAAGGGTCACTGACAATGATCCCCTCCAGCTTAGTGTGGAAGGGAATGGAACATTCTAGAAGGTGAGACAAACTTACCCACAGGAGAAACTCAGGGCGAAGTGGACACATTCCAAGGTGACAGATTATGATGAGGTGAGGCATCTCAAGAGGAGGGGCTGCTTCAGCAGCTGAGTGTGAGGGCTGAAGCTTCACCAAAGATTCAACACCCACCAGCCACATTATGAGGAAGCCTGGAGACTTCTCTGGTGCTCCAGTGGCTAAGACTCCACGCTCCCAATGCAGGGGGCCCGGGTTCAATCCCCGGTCAGGGAACTAGATCCCACATGCTGCAACTAAGCGTTCGCATGCCGCAACTAAAGATCCCGTATGCCGCAACAAAGGTCCCACGTGCCACAACTAAGACCCGATGCAGCCAAACAAAATAAATAAGTGTTAAAAAAAAAAAAAAAAGAGAGGAAGCCTGCCTCTTCTTGAGACTCCTGGGGACCTCTGGGCATCTTGGTCTCCTGTCTGGAGGAATCCGCCCTCTCATTTGTCTAATGAACCCCAGAGCAAAGCCATGGCTCATGTCTCGTTTCATTATTAGAGAGAAGGCAGGGTTAGGGCCAGAATCTGGACCTCCTCCCTCACAGTGGAGCCCTTTCCCCACACCTCCCTGCCCCTGAGGTGTGGAGAAGAGAGAAACTCAGCTTCACAGAGGCCGGATCACCAGGGAAGACAGCAGTAGGCCTGAACACCCTCATGAAGAAATGCTTTACCAGGGAATTACAGATGACAGCATGGACTCCTCGTGGTGCGGCAAAGTAGGACTTCACCTGTTGTGCAACATCAGACTTTGTTTTTTCCTTTCTCCTCTTTTCATAAAACTTCCTTTTCTCACCCAGAGGCCAGGGAGCTTGTATCTGCTTTCAAGACTGTCTGGTTGAGCTTTCTCTGGGTTTCTGGGTGGGGACCAGAAGAGATGAGGCAGGATGGGGGGTGAGTGCCATTGGATGCCAGCCCTGTGCTTTCTGCTTTCGTGCAGTGCCTGCCTCTTCCCATCTCCCTCTTCCCATCTCCCTCTCTAGACAGGAGGGAGTCTGTTTCCTCATGTTCTGGTTTATGCAGACTTTCTGTCCTCTCACTACCTCACCCCAACCAAGAGTCTTCTGTAATGTTTCCATGATACAGGCATTTTCCTCATAGGAGGCCAGAAGCTGAGCAAGCAGAAGCCAAGGATGTGAGTTGAGCTGCAGAGGGTGAAAGAAACCACAGCTCTTCCTGATGACCGCGCCCAGCGGCCCCAAGGCTGTCTTGAGCTGCTTTGCATACTCACCCTTCAAAGACCCAGGAGTCCTGTCATGGCTTCCTGGGTTGGGTCCATGACTCTGGCCCATTTGT